TTGATATTATTGGTGCATATTTAGTTCATAAGGACTGCATGTGCAATTCATATCCCATGCATATTTAGTTCATATTGAATGCATGGTACTGGATGCATATTTACTTCATAAATATAATGCATACTATGGGTCAACGGGTCAACGTCGGAAGTCAACGGTCAACGCCAGAAGTCAACAGTCAACGCCGGAAGTCAACGGTCAACGCCAGAGATCAACTAATAATTATTTTATTATTTAATTAATATATATTTTAAGGAGTGGACTCATTTTAAAGAGTAGACTCGTTGGATCCTCCCCTTATATATATATATTATACATATAGTATGACACTTTTTATTTGTGCGGTATAATATTTTTTTTTAACTTACAACATATCCTCCCTATATAAAATTCCCGAATGCGCTGAGCCTACGTGGCTGCTTCTGGTGCTTCGAAATCCTACTTGGCGAAGAATCATGTTTCGTAGTTTGGTTTGGACAAATAATATTATATATTAATAATTAATAATCTAGGTTCGGGCATTCCATAAATATTATATAGCTAACTTAGGTAGTTAATATCAATTGTACTAATATAACCCTTTAATTCTTTGTAATTTTAGATAGTGAGTCACTAAGTGACTAATATATCCCTGGCTTTTGATTTGTTTCCTACAATTAGCTATTGAATTGTAAATGTTTTTTAAAAGTTGATAACTTTTGTATTTCTTATCGGTTTTACATATATAATATATTAAATTAATCGTCTTTTGATGATCTTCGATTTGACATCCATATTGTATATATGAAATAAATAAATTATATTTATCTTTATAATAATAAAAAAATAATAATATTTATAAAATTCATTAGAAAAATACAATTATTTATCAGTTGATATATTTATGTTTAATGTAGTTATATGTTGTAAGTTAAAAAATTATTATAATATAACACAAGTAAGTCGCACAAATAAACAGTGTCATACTAAATATAATATTATAAATATTTTTAAAAGGTATTTAAATTTTCAACTTCCTTTTCTCAGTAATTTTATATTTTTTAAGAAAAAATTATCAAGCACCCGTGTAATACATGGGCGTTATACTAATAACTACATTAAACATAAATATGTCAATTGAGAAATAATTTTATTTTGTTAATGAATTTTAATAAATATTATTATTCTTTATTATTATAAAGATAAATATAATTTATTTACTTCATATATACAATATGGATGTCAAATCGAAGATCATCAAAAGATGATTAATTTGATATATTATATATGTAAAAAGATAAGAAATACAAAAATTATCAACTTTTAAAATACATTTACAATTTAATAGCTAATTGAAGGAAACAAATCAAAAATCAGGGATATATTAGTCGCTTAGTGTCTCACTATGTAAAATTACAAAGAACCAAAAGGTTATATTAGTACAAGTGATATTAGAATACCTAAATTGGCTAAATAATATTTATGAAATGTCTGAACCTAGATTTTAATTATTAATATATCAATATTATTTGTCCAAACCAAATTACGAATCATGATTTTTCGCCAAATAAAATTCCAAAGCACCAGAAACAGCCACGTAAGCTCAGCGCATTCAGGAATTATATATAAGGAAGATTTCGTATTTTTGCAAAAATATAGTAAACATATAAAAGAATGACACAAGAATCAAGATGAGAATCTCCAAAATTTTGCAGCGTTTATAATAATAGTCCGTCCCATAAGCGAATTTTAAACTCACACACACACACGAAAGAAGAAAACAAATAAATATACAGCCAATGTTCCAAGGACCCCAAAAAAGAAAAGGTGCAACCGCAATAATAATAATAATAACTAATATACACACAAGAGAGTTTGTACTCTGAACAAACAAACATCCAGCAGCAATAGCAATTAGCATGAGCTTTTTTACCTAAAGACCCACCCATTTGACCCATCTGAAGATTGTGCCGACCCTAAATGGCAGCTGGTAGTCCTTGCACACGGCAGCCTCCCTTCTGGCCACCTCAGCCTCAGACCACACGTACACCCCACGTTCCTGTTTGCTGCCGGGCACCGTGTTGTCCAGGATGAGCGCCACTATGAAAGCAATCACCATGTGAAGGGACAATAACGTGTTCACAACGTAATTCACCTGCCACGATAATTAATATATGAAAAATATATCAACTGAAAATAAATGTGTGTGTGTGTGTAGGCCTACCCCTCCAGACGTGGTGGCGATGGGACCGTGAGAAGCCACAATGTATGGTTGCAAATAACTGGGGACCGACAAGTTTGAATTTGGGGAGAGACCATACTGCTGAAAGTAGGCTGGTACGGACAGGGAAAGGAAGAGAGAAAGCCCGACTATGATTATGTTCCTTGAACTCCCAGCCTCACTATATCTTAGGTTGGATAAGCCCAATGCTGTGAGCATGGCCCACATGAAGCACAACAGAGCTGCCACCATCACCTCAGGTATCGATGCAATAAATCCCCCTACTTTTCCTGCTCCCAAATTCATTCAAATATCACATCAGGATCAACATAAGCTGATGAAAGCTTCTGTTATGTCTTAAACCCAATGAACAATTAACAAATAAACCCATACATACCTACAAGGGATAGCACAATCAATACACATGCACCCAATTGAACTGCTCGCCGGCTACCCATTTTGGTCACGGCTATGGTGTGAACATTCTCTGTTAATGTTGTGGAGCCAGTCCCAGTGCCCCATACACCAGCCAAAATGCTCGTTAGCCCTTCAAGACCAATACCTCGACTTAGGACTCCAGCTGTTGGGGGTCTGGAAGCCACCAATAAAGATGATGCGTGATATGAACCAACCTGAGAGAGAGAGAGAGAGAGAGAGAGAGAGAGAGGGATGTCAGAGAGTAATCAATCTTGTTTTTCGTATTTCTAGCATTTCATGAAGAAAGAATCACGAGATATTCATTTGAAAGTGAAAACACATTACATTAGTTGTGTTAATTATTAATGTATAGGTTCGGAATTTCCATTTTTATGGTCCTGTTTGGAAATGGGATGGCTACATGAAAAAGATAAATCTTGCATACAAAAATCTAAATAGTACTACCTCCAAAAGTACATTCAGGCATCGTTCAAAATTTAGTTAGCAAAAATGTCGGAAAAGGTACCATCAAATAATTTCAAAAGATACAACTATGAACTTCTAAATTAGATAACTACAGGAGAAATGCAACAACCAGTAAACGAACGAGTACAAACAGAAAAATATCAAATTAAAAATTCAACAATATTAAACAAAAAATTTCACAATAAAGGACCAACTCACCGAGTCAACTGCTGCGATTATCGACACCACACACATAACAAGAGCCATCTTCCAATGAAAGACAGGCATGCCCCATTGCAGAGGGTAAGGAAACCTAAACCATGGGGAAGCACTCAATGCGTGATTGGTATCGACTCGACAATACTTCATTCTGGAGACATGCCTTCTGCAGTGGTCAGAAATAATATTCGAGGCTGGTATATTCGTGTCACATCCTTTATAGTTGTACACTCCAGATTCAGTGAGAAGGAAAGACGTACACCATGTAATAAACAAACCAAGTGGAACCTAGGTTTTAGACAAGGAGAAATCAGACCAATATGCATGTTTGTGCGTGCATGCACTAAATTATTGTCAGAAACACAAATGTCTGAATGAACAAGTGGAAAAAAACATATACTTACCGCATATATTAGAAATACGCGGTGACCCAAAATTGATATTTTACGTAGGTACTGCAAAACAAGTAATTTATGAGAAAAAGAGCATTGGCAAAGGGGAAATTTACACTTAAATTGTCATGAAACAGAATATAGAACTTACTAGGGAAAAAATAACAACTAATAATATCTGCAGCACACCGATCTCGATACAGGCGCCCAGTCGAGGGAAGCCATAGCTGTAGAAAGAAAGCCCGACAGCTGCGATTGTTGGGGCCACAACAACTGGGTTGATTAACCTAAGTAGTAGAAGATAAACTACATGTGAGTTTCTGGCCCATTGTGATGTGAATCTACTGAATTGAAACTTAAACATTGTACAGAAGGTGGGAAACACAATATTTGGGCATAAAGGGGACAAGAACATAAGCATTTTAGCATGCTTTAGTGGTTAACATTGGATGTGCGGGTGTGTATGTCGTAATAAATCTAGCATATCCTTATTGAAAGCATTATTTCAAGGATGTTAAGGCAGTTGGATAATTTCTAGACTATAATAGAAACATAGTTACCGTACCAGTTGGGTTTCCAGAAATTAGGCTGGGAAATGAAAATCTGGGATAGGCACAATCCCAGGTTACTAATTAGTTTTACCCTAAATTATTTCTTCCTTTATGCAGATATTTCCAACATATGAGATTGTCATTGATAGTCCACTTAAAGATTGACAATTACAGCAAGTAAACATTTGGGATAAACTACTGCAGATTTTTTATTCCGAAATTATATTTATGTAGTGTTACAAAAAATCCAGTGATTTTTGTGTTTGCATGACAAAATCCTTTGCTGCAGTGAAACCTGTAGGAGTACCATATGTTTGACGGAGTTATTTGGGGTTCTGGTAACAAAGATGAACCTCACACGTAGTTTTGTTTAACCCTGGAATTTATTGTCCGCAACTAGTTTTGTTCTAGAACTTTTACTTGAGTATTGATGAAAAGAGCCTAGAAAGGTGTCAAACAATAGAATAAGAAACTTTTCAACAACTTTATTACCTCTCTATAACTTATGTATTTGCTTTCCCTAGCTAAGAGTGATACGGTAAAGCACTCCCTAGTCTAAACATCTATAACCTGTTAATTTTGTCAGCACTTGAGTTCTCTGGTTGATATGTTCATATAATAATCATAGAACCAAAGATAAAGAATTCACCCGTCTCCTATTTTCCATTGATATGGCTAAGTGCAAGAAAGTATTCATGGACTTTCACAATTTATAAAGAAAAGCCATATACTTGGTACTGTACTGAAATTTTGTTCTTAACGTACCTCAAATAGAATTCTTTGCAGATAAATTGCGTTAGAGAGTTGCTGACGAAAACTTTTACTAGCATACTACTTCTCTGAAGCAGCAATATAGCGAGTTTATTTGTTCAAAACCCAGATCAGGGGATTGATAATAGGATTATACGAATAAGTTTGAAAATGGTAAAATTTCTCCAACACATTAAAGCCCATTATTTTACAATTTTTTTTTTTTTTTT